ACTTATGAGAAAATAAATTTGTTTTTTAAAGTCACACTCACACACAAAAAATAAATAAAAAATAAGTTACAATTAAATAAATAAATAAAGTCACACTCACTTTGGATATTTCCATTACAGCAGCGCTAGGAAGCTGAGATACTACACAGAAGGGCAAATTAAAATGCGATCAAAAATTTAAAAATACAATCAGCCTATTCTGGAATATATATGATTTTAATTATAAACCAAAAATGAAACCCACTACTATTGTGTCTAGCTGGCCGGATAATAACCATGTGGGATAGCTAATAAAAGTGTCCTATAGTGTTTCCTAAATGCTGTGAATCTTTACAGAATCTTGACCTCTTTCTGTGGGATATCTTTCTCCCTTGGCAACACAGATGAGTTCAACCCATCAAGGTTTTGGTCCACTATACACCACCAGGACTTTTTCATTTAAATCACAACATTCCTGTTAAAATTGTGAATTACACTGATTTTTTTAACATCAAACTTCATAACTAGGATAAAACGTACGTGTGTGTGTGTGTGTCAAAGAGAGAGAGAGAGAGGGGAAGAGAGAGATAGATATTGAGATTATAACGTCTCTATCTGGATTGGAGAATCAGGTCAAGACAGGCTACGTTATGTGAGTCATAAAGTACTTCCTTTCTTATTATTTTCTGCATTATGCCATGCTTAAATTTTTCACAGGACTCACTGGTGAAGCCACCTCAGTCTGGAATTTTCTTTGGGGAGTATTTTTATTCCAATTGTACTTTAGCAACAAATATTGGGCTATTAAACACAGACATGCACAAAGTGCTTAACATGCTGTCAAGTCTGTCATTTAAGTAACGCTTTGAGGCCCACTGAAGACCCAGTGACGTATACCATTGTAGACGATCCAGGACAGGTGCTCCTGGGGAAGGGCCACCTGCATGATGAGTCTGAGAGAGGACAAGATTTGCAGACACTGGACCACAGATTCTTTATTCTGCAGGTTTGCATCATTGTCACAGACCAGCTGGTAGCAGCAAATATTTTTGTTGTTTAAAGCGTGAAACTGCAACACATGGGAAAATATAAGAAAGAATATAAATACGTTTTGTATGACTTAGGAAAACATTTCTTAAGATATAGAAAACGAAAATAGAAACAATTCTGCTTATTTCTAAATTAGTCTGGGAGAGGGGGGAAATATGGTAAGAAGTTTGTCCAAAAGAGCCATTTAGTTAAGATGGCCTTCCTCTAAAAGAAATTCAAAGTAAAAACAAAGCACAGAAATCCTATTACCAGAATACAGAGTTGAATCAGCATTTGAAAAGTCACCCAGTGACATTTTAGCCTATTTATTAATTCATGTGTTAAGTATTACCATTTACACAATTAATGCAGCAAATATTTACTGAGCATCTCTATGTGCCACAAGCTGCTAGGCAATAGGAACTCAAAGATTAGAAAGACACATCTCGTGCTTTAAGCAGAGGGAGAATTGTTCCGGGCACACACAAGGTCACAGAGGTGTCCACAGATAGCTACTGTGAAGTCAACTGCAAACCATGGCAAGCTTGCAGACAACAGGAGGAAATGTTGCCCGGCTCCGTATCATCCTCATCATCAGTGAAATAATTTCGTCTGCTGTGCCAGTTTACCTCTCAGGGTCTCCCTCACCCTCACTGGCTCTCTACTTCATCAACACCATGTCCTTCCCAGTTACTTACCCTTCCTAATTACAAGTTTTAAAAAAATCATGCAGTGTGCTGTGTGACTCATAAAATTTTCACTGGCTAACTGGACCAACAATCATCACCCTCGGTACCAGCAGTCAGGAGATCAGGAGACATGTTGCACTGGGCAAGCCACGAACCTTTCCAAAATACTAAAGAGCGATGATGTCAGTTTGAAGACTAAGGTGCGCCTATTTCAGGTCATGGTCATTTCAATTAGTTGTTATGTATCCGAGAGCTGAACAAAGAATAAGAATGACAGAAGAATTGATGCCTTTGAATTGTAGTGTTGGAGAAGAGTACTGACTATCTCATGGACTGCCAAAAGAACAAGTAGGTTTATCTTAAAAAAAGTGCAGCCAGAGAGCTCCTTGGAGGCAAAGATGGCAAAGCTTCATTTCACATGCATTGGACATGTTGCTAGGAGAGGGTATTCCTTGGAAAGGGGGGTATTCCTTGGAAAGGGAGATCATGCTTAGAAAAGTGAAGGATCAGCACAAGAAAGACCCCGATGAGATAGCTTAACATAGTGACTGAAGCAATGGGTTTAAATGTGCCCGAGATAATGAGGGTGGCACAGGATAGGACAGGGTACAGGTCTGCTATGTATGAGGTCACTTTAAACCATACTCAACTCGAAGACACATAACGACAACTATTTTTTGAAGTATAAAGTCAGCCCTTTCTAATCTGTTTTAGTCTAGACACTCTGCTGAAACCTGTCCACTACGAGATACCCATGCTTCTATTTCAATATTGGTTGTATCGCTTCCAACAACATATCTGAGTAGGACAAACTGGCAGAGGGATATACAATGTTGTTGTTGTTGTTGTTATGAGCCGTCGAGTCATTTGCGACTCATAGCGACCCTATGCACAACAGCCCTAAACCCTGCTCTATCCTGTGACAAGCGCACTGCCTCCGACACTCCCATCCCGATTACCCCAGTCACTGAATCAATCCATCTCATAGAGGGT